ATTTCGGGCTTGGTGGGATCCAGTTCACACCACCTTTGGTGTTTTCTCCAAGCCCTGTCTTACAGCTGTGCTGACCTTTGCAGTTCCTTTAGTTAAACAGCGCATCATCAAAAGTATCAACTCCTTTCCTAACGTTTGTTTGATGGTGGTCCTGGAGTTGAACCCAGGGCCTCACACATGCTAGGCAAACTCGGGGCCTGGAGCTGCATCCCCAGTGCATCTTTTTCTCCGTGCTTTATTTCCAGATGGTCAATGTGCCCTGGGTTGCCTGGCTGGTAGCCTCTCTCCTGCCAGCCCTCTAATAGTAAAGTACCAACTGGCTTCCTCATGCGTGCCAGGGCCCCTGCCCAGCCCCGTGTCTGTATGAACCCCTAACCCTAACAGCAACACCGTGAGAGGTGCAGTGTCTATTCCTTTTCTGTACGTGTGCTGGTGTCGCTTGCCTGAGACCCGGCCAGAGACTGCGGAGCTGTCCTCAGCCCCAGCCACACACGTACCCTGGATCATGGTCAGTGCTGCACTCCTGGCTCCTGCCCATCCCCAACCGTTTTTTTTTTTTTCGTATCGGGGATCGAACTCAGGACCTTGTGCTTGTGAGGCAGGCGGCGGCGAGCGGTTCTTATTCATCCACTAAATTGTGCCTTTGCACTTCCCAGGTCCTTCACTGCTCTGGCCTTTGTCACTTCCTTTGAATGCAGCAAGCACTGTCTCAAAGTGGATTTCATTACCCAGGCCCCATCTCTGTCCCATTGTCTTGCAGATTGCAGACAACTTGGACCTCCTGGGCCACCTCTCTGGTGGCTCCAACCTCCCTACTCTTAGAACTTCTTAAACACCACGTCGTTTGATCCACCCAGGGAAAGAGTGTCACCCAGGGGTTTCTCATATTCACAGCTGTCCATACAGCACCAGAATCCATCTTAGAACACGTTCTTCATCCTCTAAAGAAGCAGGCTTGTCCTCTCAGTGGCCACAGCCACCCACCCACATTATGCCTCTGGGTTTGCTTATTCTGGACATTTCGTACGTGGATCATGCACTGTGTGGCCTTTGCCTGTGGCTGATGTCACTTAGCATGATATTTTCAAAGCACATCCCCACTGCAGCGTGGATCAGTACTTCATGCCTTCTTATTCTTGAATAATATTTTATGGTGGGGATATACACGTGCAGTATTGCTTATCTGAAGTGCTTGGAAGCAAAAGAGTTTTGGTGTTTTTTTTGGTACCGGGGATCGAACTCGGGTCCTTGCGCTTGTGCAGCAGGTGGCAAAACCACTGAGCTAAATCCCCGGCCCAACAAAAGTGTTTTGCATTTTTCTTCCCCTGGTTTTGGGATACTTGCATATACGTAATGAGATGTCTTGGGGATGAGACCCAGAACTAAACACAGCCTTCATTTATGTTTCAGATACATCTGATATACCAAATGGAAGTTTTTTGTTTGTTTTGTTTTGTTTCTTTGAGATAGGGTTTCACTGTTATTTCAGCCTAGCCCTGAACTCACAGTGATCCTCCTGCCTCAGCCTCCCAAGTACTGGGATTACAGGTGTGCACTTCCTTCTCTGGGAATAAACTTCATTTAACTGCTGGAAGTCAAGAGCTTCTCATAGCTCCCCTCTAGGCTCGTTGCATCTGTTCTCAGTTGCTGTGCTTCTGCCAGCCAGGCTACCATGTTATCCCCAAGCCACCCTCGGAGGCTTCTGCTGCTCGCCCCGGACAAGGCTTGGGGCAGAGTCACACACACACATTTCTCTAAGACACAGTTTTTTTAAAAAAATAAATTGGGCCGGGTATTTAGCTCAGTGGTTTCATTGCCTGCTGCGCAAGCACAAGCCCAAGGACCCGAGTTCGATCCCCAGTACCAAAAACAAAACAAAACAAAAGAACACACAAAAAAATAAATCAGGGCCGGGGCTTTAGCTCAGTGGTTTCATCACCTGCTGTGCAAGTGTAAGGACCCGAGTTCGATCCCCAGTACCAAAAAAAAAAATCTGAGTTATCTGCATACATTTAAAAATTAAACAGAGACTGGGGCCAGAGCTCCATGTAGGGCGCTGCCTAGCATGAGCAAGGCCCTGGGTTCCAGCCCCAGCACCACAAGGAAAAAGACAAAAAAAGGAAGAAAATTAAAGACTACACTGAAGAAACCACTGTTCACTCCTGCTGACCAAGGAAAGATTTGGTCCCTGGGCCTGTGAGGCACTCGGGGCTGCAGCTGAGGCAAGTTTAACCTCAGCTCCGGGGACAAATCCTCACCCTTTACCTGCTGTGCCACTGGAGCCTCTGACCTCTGACCTTTACCCGCACCCTCCTTCCAGGACCCAGCACAGCTTGTGCTCCGAGTCGTGCTGCCCAGCCTCATGCTGAGCTTAGTATCAGGAGGTGTTTTGGCGGTAAGAACTGCAGGCTCTGGACTCACCTGTCTGGGTTCAAATCCCGTCTTTACTGTTTACCAGCAGTGTGACTGTGGGTATGTCACCACCCACTCTGAACCTTCGTTTCTTTATATTGCCAAGTGGGGGCAATAGTGGAATCTGCTTTTATGTTATTGTTTTGAGGAATCCATGGGCTGAAATTCTTTATTTGTTGGTATTTTCAGGTTTTTTTTTTTTTTTTTTTGGTATCAGAGATTGAACTCAGGTCCTTGTGCTTGCAGGGCAGGCAGTGGAACCACTGAGCTAAATCCCCGGCCCTATTAGTACCTGTTTTTGTCACACAAAGACTGCATCCCTTGTAGGGAGTTGGCACACGTGCATGACACACCTTTATTCTGTTTTCTTCCCTTGTATGTTGATATCATCGTCTTCCCACCATGTCTTCTCAGGACCCCAGGGGGACGGGGAGCCCCGCTGGTACTGTGGGGCTGATTGTCCCCCATATCTCAGGGCTTGGCGGCCCCAGCCAGAGCCACCCTTCACACTCTGGTGAAGAGCAAAGCAGCTGTGCTGTCCAGCAAGTAGGCTGTGTGGGGCCTCATTTCTCGCCCACAGTGCCAGTGCCTCTGCCGGGAACGGACCACAGGGCTGAATTCAGGGCAGGTTGTTCCGCTGGCCCAGCCTGGTTCTGTCACTGTGCGGCTGGCCGGAGGGTCAGGGCAGGTGCCGAGGACCCAGGATGTCCCCCCGAGGGGTGCTCTGGCCCTGAGGTGTATAAAACTGTGCCGTGACCAACCCCAGTGCACTTCTTACTTGCTTATTCATTTATTTTGCAGTGTCGTGAGGGAGCCCAGGGCCTCTGTGCAGGGCCCTCCTGCACACCAGGCAATTCCCAGCCACAGGGCTGCATCTCCAGCCACCCCACCCCGCCCTGCTCCCCCAGAACATTTTCCTCCTGTGCATCTCTTCCTGCATTTCCTCCCGTTTCCTTTCCTTTTCGAGGCCTGAATTCCTCTTTCTTTCTGTGTCTGATTCCTTAAACGAGCCACTGTTTAATTTTGATGGGGAGTCTTGTGCTGTGTGTGTCCAGGTACAGATTTTTCTGTCCCTCTTGATCTTTTTTCCCCCCGGGTGCTGCGGACCAAATCCAGGGCCTCACACATGCTAGGTGTTCACTGCTATTGAGCCGCTGAGCTACACCCCGCCCCAGCCACTGACTTCAGATCTGTCTTTTGCTCACGGATGCATCTCTTCTGAGTCTGTAAAATCCACCGGCTGAATTTCTGATTGCCAGTGATACTTCACTTACTAGAGTTCTGTTTATTCTGGCCACATCTGTTTATTCTGGCTCCCTGAAGATTTGGGTTTTTTTGGTTTTTTTGGGTACCGGGGATTGAACTCAGGTCCTTGCTTCCAAGGCAGGCGGCAGAACCACTGAGCTAAATCCCCGGCCCTAGATTCAGTTTTACTTGACCAGTGGTCATGCCTCTTTCTCGTGGCGTGATGTGTCAGGGCCTATGTGGGTCTGTTCTCTCTGCTGTCCACTGCAGGAATGCAGCTCTGGCTTAGACACTAGGAATGCGGTGACGATGCCATGGCTGCCCCTATGGGGCGCTGAATTAAGGTCAGATGGGCCTGGTGAAGACAGGGCCTGCAGGAGGGCCAGAGCTCCTGGGAGCTGGGACCTTGAGGGGGTGTGGACAGCAGCTGCTGAGAAGGCTGGCAGTGTGTCCTAGCTGACACTGGCACAGCATCCCGTGATTGTGGTGGATGGTGACTCTTCCTGCCTTGATGTCCGCTTTCTCGGTGGGTGACATGGTGCCCGGGCTGGGTGTCTCCAAGCCGGGGCAGCTGTGGCACGCTGAGGGAGGTGGCATGTTTGAGCCCTGAGTTCCGAGGGTGCTGTCTGCATTGGAATCATGGACCGTGTGGCGGGGTGGCCCTGCCCTCCCGGCCCCATGCCCGGACTCCTTCCTCCTGGCAGAGCAGGGACAAGCAGGTGGCTGCCGTGTGCACCTGCTGGTTGAGCAGGGTGCTGTGTGGCAGGGGCAGCGTTGTACCAGGGGCAGTGGGCAATGCTGGCTGTGCTCTGTGCCCTCCAGTGTTGCTTCCTCTGACCTCCCATCACCTTGTCAAGAGCTGCTGAAATTTCATCTCCTTTTTCCTCCTTCCTGTTTCCCCACTCCGGGCACAAGTGCGCGTGGGTCCTGGGCTGGCCTTCATCAGCCCCACTTACTGGCAGGACACAGAAGCCAAGTCACTCGCCCGAGATCTCACACCAGGCAGCGGTGGGATTTTGTGCCCAGCTGTCCCTGTGATGCCTTTGCTGACCCCTGCAGGCCGGGGCCAGGGAGGAGGGTGAGAGGCTGGCCACTGCCTGCCAGTTCTATCTGAGACGAGACCCTTCCCATGCTGATCCCCAAGAGGCCCAAGGACTGTCGCTTTCTCTTGGGGGCATTTTCGCGAAGGGCAGTGGCCCCACGACTCCCCCCACTTCTCCCGTGGTTTGCTTTGTCATCCCGTCTGGGTCTGGGGTCTTAGGACTGCAGATGCCAGGACCAGTGTGTGGGCGGGGTCTTGTGGCACCTCGGGAACCCTCTCGATGACGCCCCCTCCCACCCAGGTCGCATCAGCTTCTACGAGGAGTACGGCGTCATCCGAGATGTCCTGCAGAACCACCTGACCGAGATCCTCATGCTGGTGGCCATGGAGCTGCCGCTCAATGTCAGCAGCTCGGCGGCCGTGCTGCAGCACAAGCTCGAAGCCTTCCGTGGCCTGAGGGGCCTGAACAAGGGCAGCGCCGTGGTGGGCCAGTACCAGGCCTATAGCGCGCAGGCACGCAGGGAGCTGCAGAAGCCCGAGGGCTTCCACAGCCTGACTCCCACCTTCGCAGGTGCGCCCCAGGGTGGGGCCTTTGGGGTGCGGGCTGCCGGTAGATGCAGCCATCCAACCTGGCCCCTGTGCTTCCAGGTGGAGGGGGTCGAGGTGGGACTGGCACTAGGGTGGTCAGGGCACTGTCACCTTCCTCCGCCCCTGTGGTTATCTACAGCTTGGGAGGCACCTGCTGGCCCTCTCTGGGCAACTGGCGTCCAGCTGGTGCTCTCACGCCTGCCTCTGTCCGGGCCAGCCCTGTGGATGCTCCCTGGAGGCTTTTGCCTATGAGGACAGAGCCGGGCTGGCCCTGGCGGGGTTTGTGTCTGGCCTCCCAAGTAGGTGGAAACTGCCCGGCTACAGCTCGAGACGCTGTGGGCAGATGCCCTCAGAGCCGCCTTCTGGATGGTTCCGGAGCTCTGGGAGAGGGTGGTGACCACTCGCAGGAGCAGTAGCTGCGCACGGAGCCCGTAAGATGTATCAGGCACTCGTACAGGCTACTGCCGTCCTCACGCCCAGATCCACAGGGCAGGGGCCGGCGTCACATCCTGCGGGCGAGGAGTCAAGAGGCTCGTGAGGCTGACACTAAGCCAGGCTTGGAACGTGGACATGGGTCTGGCTCCTGACACCATCACGCACGCGCACTCACGTGCACCCTACGCATGCCTCTTGCAGTCTCTTCCCTGCACCCGGCCCCTCCCCACCTGACACCTGACCTTGCTTCAGGCATCCTGAGTGTTGCAAAGCAGGAGGATCCCCCACCTGTTTCCCTGCAGGGGATGGGACTCCTTGAGTTTCCAGGTTGCAGCCTGCCAGCCCAGTTGGAGCAGGGGTTTCAGGGGCCCTCGGGGATCTGATGTCCCAGCCACAGTTGGGAAAGGGAGATACCAAAGAGGTGCAGGGCCCGGGGGTGGGGGGAGGCTAACAGGAGCCCCGACAGGGCCCTGGGGTGTATGGCAGGCTGGGACGTCATGCTCCGCTCTCTCCCTGTCCCAGGTGTCCTCGTGCATGTGGACAGCCTGCGCTGGGAGGGTGTGCCCTTCACCCTGATGTCTGGCAAGGCCCTGGACGAGAGAGTGGGCTATGTGCGGGTCCTGTTCAAAAACCAGGCGTTCTGCATCCAGCACGAGAGGCACTGGGCCCCAGAGCAGAGCCCGTGTCTTCCCCGGCAGATCATCTTCCACATCGGACATGGTGAGCTGAGCCACCCAGCCATCCTGGTCAGCCGGAACCTGTTCAGGCCCTCCCTGCCTGCACACAGCTGGGCGGAAGTGCAGGAGAGGCCCGGGCTCCGAGTGTTGGGTCGCCCCCTGTCTGATTTCTATGCCTACAGCCCCTTGAGGGAGCGAGACGCCTACTCCATCCTCCTGTCCCACATCTTCCACGGCCGGAAAGAATCCTTCATCACCACAGAGAACTTGCTGGCTTCCTGGGATTTCTGGACCCCGTTGCTGGACAGCCTGGCCCATGAGGTCCCGCGCCTCTACCCGGGGGGAGCAGACACCGGCTGTCTGTTGGACCTGGAGTTAAATGGGGGCCACCTGTCCTTCTCCCAGCAGCAGCCCGAGCAGCTGGTCCCAGGGCCGGGGTCGGCCCCCAAGCCCAGTGACTTCCAGGTCCTCAGGGCCAGGTACCGAGAGAGCCCGCTGATCTCGGCCTGGCCTGAGGAGCTGATCTCCAGGCTGGCCAGCGACATTGAGGCCTCTGCCCTGCAGGCCGTGCAGCACTTCGGCAAGTTCCACCTGGCGCTGTCGGGTGGCTCCAGCCCCATCGCCCTGTTCCAGCAGCTGGCCATGGGCCACTACAGCTTCCCCTGGGCCCACACACACCTCTGGCTGGTGGACGAGCGCTGCGTCCCGCTGTCGGACCCTGACTCCAACTTCCAGGGCCTGCAGGCTCACCTGCTGCAGCACATCCGCTTGCCCTACTACAATATCCACCCCATGCCGGTGCACCTGCACCAGCGGCTGTGCGCGGAAGAGGACCAGGGTGCCCAGACCTATGCCGGGGAGATCTCGGCCCTGGTGGCCAACAGCAGCTTCGACCTGGTGCTGCTGGGCATGGGCACCGATGGGCACACGGCCTCCCTCTTCCCGCAGTCGCCCACGGGCCTGGACGGCGAGCAGCTGGTGGTGCTGACGCAGAGCCCCTTCAGGCCGCACCAGCGCATGAGCCTCAGCCTGCCGCTCATCAACAGGGCCAAGAAGGTGGCCGTCCTGGTCATGGGCCGGACAAAGCGTGACATCACCATGCTGGTGAGCCGTGTGGGCCAGGAGCCCAGGAAGTGGCCCATCTCAGGCGTGCTTCCCAGCTCCGGCCAGCTGGTTTGGTACATGGACTACGAAGCCTTCCTGGGGTGACAGGGCGTCCTTGCTTGCTCACTCCTGGGTCTCTCGAACCTGCCACCCCCCTCCCTCCTAGTGCCCCACCTGCCTCCTGGTGCCCGCTCCCAGGGTCCCTGCTCTCTGGACGCTGAGGTGAGGCCCCAGGCCCGTGGGTGGTCGCTCCTGCTGGGTGTCGGTGGGAGGACACAGAAACGGACATGGAGCCTGGCTCTTGGGAGATCTGACTCGGGTCAGGAGAGAAGCTAAGACGCTCCCTGCAGGATCCACCAGCAAAATACCAGGAACAGGCTGGGGGGTGCAGCTCAGCGGAAGAGCACTTGCCTGGCACGTGTGGGGCCCTGGGTTCTATCCCCGGCACTGCCAAAAAATAAAAATTGAAAAAAGAAAGAAGGACGAGGAGAAGGCCCCGCGTTCAGAAGTAGGAACGTGGGGGCCTGGGTTGATGGGGAATTGGCCTGGGAGAGGCTGGCCTGGAACTGTCTCCGTGCAGAAGAGGGGCCTGAGTTGGTAACGGGAAGGGCCTGGAGACCCCCGTGGGTGCAGTGCTCGTGAGCTGCTCAGCCCGCCTCCCCAGCCGCCCCGGGTCAGGCTCGGCACACACCGCCCGCCCTCTGCTCCTCTCTCCAGCACCTCCACCTGCTCTGCCCCGGGTCCTCTGAGTTTCCTGTCCCTCCCTTCCCTGTCCCTTGCTGTCCCCCAGCCAGTCCTTCTGCAGAGAGGTAACTGAGATGTCAAAAAAGGCACCCTGAGACTTCTGACTGGCGTCAGGGGCTCCTTTTCTCTGTCAAGAGCCTCGAGGTCTGGGGCAGGGGCCTGGCTCCCCACCTTCTCCACCTGCTGCTTCTGCTGAAGGTCTTGCTCTGGGAAACACAGGGTGCACAGAAATGGCATCCTGGGACCCCAAATTCTAGAGGGTGATTACATCTTGGAGCTACCCGGTGAAAGCACTGGTTTTATCAGAAAGCTCTACCAATCATCCTCTGATGGGGAAGATGCGACATCAGGTGACACCAGGCCTTCGGTATCTCTGATCCACTTGAGAGCCAGGCCCCTGCTAGGTGGCTGCAGCTCTTGGGCCTTTCTGAGGGCTCAGGTGGCCAACAGGACAGCGCAGCCAGCCCTCCTCTGACTGCCTCCTGGGCAGCCTGGGCCTTGAGCTGGTGACTTCCATCTGTGGGTCCCTCTGGCCCCCTCCCTCATCCCTGTCTGAGACCCTGGGGAAGGAGGTAGCAGCCCCTCTGTCACCCCGGATGGGGTCCCCCCTCCCTGGAAGCTGTGGGCCGGCGTCATCTATTTTTCTGAACCTCCCAGAAGAGGCTCTGAAATTGTTTTTAAGGAAGCCAATAACAAAAAGCACAACTCCCAAGACCCAGGGCTTGGAATGGTTGAGCCAGGTCTGTGTGACTGTCCCCCGCCTGTGTCCCGCTGCTCAAAGTCCTAGTGAATTGCGGTTTTTATTTGGTGAGGAGCAGCTACTTTGGATTGTTTACACTTTCTTCCAGGCCATGCACGTGTGTGGGGGCCTAGCCCGGGCTCCTTGTGAAAGGCAGCCTTGTTCACATCCTGCTTACCCTGGTCCCCAGGACGTCTCTATACCGAGAAAGCTTCCCTGGCAGAGCTGAACCCAGGCCCAGGCGGGGAGGAGACACAGGGCGGTGTCTGGGAAGTTCCGCCACTGGCCACCCGGGGGCGCCCACGCACTGCCACCTGACTGGCCGTGGGGTACCTGTCCTGTGGTCAGCCCGCCAGGGTCCTGGGCCCCACCCCTCGCCTATCTGTCCTCTAGGGACACATCTCTGTGGCAGCAACGGCGGGGTCGCTGTGGAAAAGGCTGGACAGGCATTGTGTAATACTGAGTCGCTGCCGGGCCTGAGCCTTGGGTGTCCTGTTCTTAAGTGGAGGACCCCTGGTCCTCCGCCCCGGGTCGGGAGGAGAGGGGCTGGAACCAAGACCACCTCACAGGTGCTGTGCCAGCCTTGTGGACCATGACCTGCAACGAGAACCACGCTTCACACTGCCAGTCAGGCATACCTGGGTCTAAATCTGCGTCTTCAAGTTTCACAAAGGGCGTTCCTCCTCACATCTTGATTTTCTATTTTTCATTAAAAAATGCTGTTTGCGGGCCGGGGATTTAGTTCAGTGGTTTCACTGCCTGCTGCGCAAGCACAAGGACCTGAGTTCGATCTCTGGTACAAAAAAAAAAAAAATGCTGTTTGCAACCCACTAAAGTGAGCTGGTGCAGAGTTTGAAAAATAACAACAGCCCTTGGGCTGGGATTTAGCTCAGTGGTTCTGCCGCCTGGCTAGCAAGCACAAGGTCATGAGTTCAATCCCCGGTACCAAAAAAAAAATAGCATTGTGAATAACAACAGCCCTTGTCCAGCTTTCTACCTGGCCCGGCTGCCGAGGGAAGGCTCCAGGCCACGGCGGGGACAGAATGCAGCCTCCTCATCCAACCCAGCCGCCTCTGTCTCCAGCCTGGGCCAGGGGGACCTGGAACCCCGGGTGGGAGCATCCCATCTGCACACCACAGCAAATGGCACAGGGGCCCCTCTTGAGGGACCTGGCCCATGAGCACCCCAGGGGCGACAAGTTATCCCCAGCTGTGGTGGGGAACGAATCGAGGGGCTTTCTAGGCTGTCTCGAGCTAGACTCTGATTTTGGGTCTGGGGGCAAATGCTTCCGCCAACTGCAAGTCAAACAGTCTCACCTTGTTGGTTTTCCCCGCTTTTTGCTGCGCTGTAGGAAACATTGTTTTTCCTCTAGGGCCCCACATTAGCAGCATAATGCCAGCTTCCTCCGGCCTGGACCGATACTTCCTATGCTTCAGTGTCCCTTCAGGGGGGCTCTCTTTTCTCGCTTCCTTCCTGCTTCCTTCCTGTCTTTCTGGGGATGGTGGGATGGAGCAAGGCAGGGAGCTCCCTGGAGGACCTCATGGGGCTGCTTCCGAGAATGCAGCTTTCAGGCTGAACGGCCACGAGGATCCACTGACCCTGACCCTGCAGTGGCCTCGTCGCCTGCTCTCTCTTCAACTTCCCGGCAGCTGCTCTGCACCTGGAGGCCACAGCCTGCATAGGTAATACTTGAGGCAGCACAGTGGCTCTGCTGGGGACATTGCTAGAGCCTGAATGGGCACCTGAACCAGGGCAGTTGGGGGATCTTACTGGCACCGCACTGCTTTGGAGCCTGAGGACTTTAATTCCGGGGAAGGCGGCAGGAGCCTGAAGCAGCACATGTTCTTGGGGGAAGCTCACATCCAGGTCCTCAGCCAGCACTCAAGGTGGGGCCCAGGGAGAGACTCTGAGGACACCAACTCGACAGTGCCAGCCCCTAGCCACTGGGGCAGTGACTGCTCCTGTGCAGTGTCCCCTCCAGCCAGCGCAGGGAGTGACATGCATCTGTGTGCAGATGTGTGTGCCTGGGCATGACCCTGAATGGACAGGGTGATCTCCAACTCAGATGAATTACACTTCTGCTTACGCCTTGATTCCCAAGGTGCAGCTGGGTGTGCAGCCCTCGCCTTGTCCCAAGGTGTTTCCTGCTGCTGGGGGAGGGACAGGCACCTGGACTTGTGGGAAGGCCAGATGCATGTGGACACTGCATCCATGGAGTGGTTTGTGTCCTTTGCCTGCAGAAACCTGGAAGGGCTGGGTAGGAGATGTTATGCAGCGCGCGTGCAACAGGAAAGATGCCTGAGGTGCTGGTAACCAAAGACCCCCTTGCCTCGGTTTCTCTGGGGTATAATGCAGGTAATTGGCTCCTCCCAGCCCTGTCCCTGGGAAGAGCCTGGTAGGAGCCATCACCAGCCCAAGGGAGCGGGCTTGGCCCCTTGCGAAGGTCTCGGGTCTTGTTGCCCCTGGATCGCATTGTCTTTGCTCTCTGCCCCTCCCTGGGCAGCCTGGACTCGGGTCTCTGTCCAGGAACAGCAACAGCCACCTACTGCCAAGCAGCCAGAACGTGCTGGGATTTTTCTCAGACAGGGAAACTACCCCTGGTTTTTATGGAAATGTAGATGCCTACAATGATAAGACACTGAGAACAAATGCCTTTTTAAAACAGTTTTTAAAGTGCCTTTTTGTATGTCAGATGTAACATTTATTTTTTTGAACAATAAAATTGTTTTGCCAAAAGCCACGCTTTGGCTGGTTCTTTGGGAGTTGGAGCAGAGCAGGATGCAGGCCTGGGCCCTGCTGTTGTCCTGGAGAAAGGAAGTGTGGGGAGGAAGTGCCCCTCACCTTCCCCACAGCCCACTGGACACCAAGGTGATCACCCTGAAGGTACCAGGGAGATGTCAGGAGGGGCGTCTTTCAGTGCCAGAAGCCATCGCCAAATCAAACTTGGGGTTGGGAGTAGAGTCTGGTGCAGGAGTCAGAGACCAGCTGGATGTCACAGCACGTGACCCAAGCCGACTTGGTGACATCACGAGGTGGCAGCAGGAGCCATGTGCCTATCCCAAACGGGGGAGCCTCGGGCAGGGACCCTGAGGCCAAGGGAGTGGGAAAGGCAGGGAGATTGCCAGTGCCATTTCTTGGGCACAGGTGACGTCCAGAGCTGGCCAGATGGCAAGGGTCACACTGTGAGGGGTGGAACCCTCCCCACGACAAAGCAGGACCTCAGGTGACAGAGAGGCAGACGGTGCACCGGATAGGTCACAGCCTCCCCTCTACCCACATCTGCACTTCCTGTCCACACACAGCGAGGCCTGCGGTCCCCAGGGGCACTGTCCCCACCGAGGTGTCCCTTACTTTCTCCAGCTCCTGGCCTCCGGTCTGTCTCCCTCTGGGAGGGACCCTCGGGTGTCTTCTGAAGAAATGTCAAGGTGACCCAGGGCGCTTCCCAACCCCCAGCACTGCCCCATGATGAGGGCAAAGATCCCAGTCGGGCACATCAGGGCCAGGCGCCCTGGCCACAGGTGCAGGGAGTGGGGGCAGCTGGTGGCCCAGGCTGGTGTGGGATCTCTGTCCCCATCCTGGGGTTGGTCTGTGGCTGCATCAGCTGGGTGCCCTTGGCCCCCAGCCCAAGTTAGACCCATCTATGGGGGCAGGTGAGGTGGCCCATGGTTCAGGGTCCCCCGGCCCGGGCTCTCTCCTTTGGAGCCCCAGTTCTAGCCCCACCCGCTGGCCCAAAGGCCACGCCCACCCCAGCTCCCCGCTGGGCCTCCCCGGTGGCTGTCCTCCTTCTGAGTCCCAAGGCTGGGGTCAGCTGACCCACGCTCCTGGACCTTTCTCCCTGGAGCTGATGGAAAAAGGACCCCCTGCACCTTGACTCAGAGTGGTCATGCGTCGCCAGGAAAGCAGCCCAGGGGTCTCCTTGCTCCCCGGAAAATGGATCCCAGGGGCAGAAGCCAGGCAGACACGAGGCCACAGGGTTCAGCCACCCGCGGTGGCCAAGGCTCGCTCCACCCACACCTTCCCTGTCATCCTTGTGAAAGAGCCTCAGATAGCACCATGGGCAGCCAGGGACAGACTGCTCTCTCCTGAAAGGCAAGGATGGGGGAGCCCAGGGACAGCATCGGCACTACCTGGGGTCAGGAAGGCTTCCCAGAGGGGGAAACTGGGGTTATCTTGAAGGAGGAGTGGACACTAGGCAGGAGAAGGGGGCCACGGGAGAGGATTCCAGGGCAGGGGCCAGAAGCAGCTGGTCTTGGGGCCTGAGTTGCTGGACAGGATGGGCCCCGGGGTGTGGCTCTGGCCGCTAAGGCTGATGGAGGATGGGCCTCAAAACCTGGAAGGTTATCCAGAGCCCTTGGAGGTCATCCTGGGTCTGTCCCAGCCGCTCAAGCTGACCACCCCCTTGGCTCAGAGAGACCTAAAGCCACAGGACCAGGGCGGCTTCATCTCTGGAACAAAAACAGCCTCTGAGAGTGGAAGGGAAAGATTGCTTCTGCCCTAAAACAAACCTGGAGCAGACGCCAAATCCCATCCATTCAGCTATAAAAGACAGACTTCAGGATATTCCCACTGGAGTGGACGGGGTGACTTGGGATCCCTGCCTGGCAGTGGGGATTCTCACTGGCTTTCTCCCCGAGGAGGGCTCCAGCAGGGGTGGCTGCTGAATGAATGGTCAGCAAGATGGGGGTGGCCAAGCTGGATGCCAGTCTGCCCTCCATCCATCCATTGATCCATCAGCCCATCGGTCCATCCATCTATCATCCTTAATGCATCCATCCATTGATCCATCAATTCACCCATCAGTCCATCATCCTTCCATCCATCCATCCATCCATCATCGTCCACCCATCCAGTGAGCTCAGACACAGTGGTGGATCCTGGATCCTGGCCGTGGTCAGACAGGCGGGCTTCTCCTTTTCCATAGCAAACTGTGATTTGCCTGTAACATGCTTCCCACCCCAGTTAGGGACAAAGGACTCCTGCCATCCCTATGGCCTGCCCCCCAGTCCACAGCTGGCACCTAATAAGTGAGAGAGCCGGGTCTTTCTGTGCCACCTCAGGCATTACCTTCCTGGGGTTTGTGCAGTCACTGAGGCTCCTCCAGCCGCCCTGGGCTCTGCCCACACACTGGCCCACCTGACCCCGAATGGTGCTAACAGCCTTTGCCTTTCAAACCCTGCCAGTGCCAACTGCTCACAGGCCTTTCCACCCTCTGCAGGGCACAGGTCGCTTGCTCTTGGTGCATTGCAGGAACCTGGCCAGAGACCCTGTAAGTTTGTGAGTTGGCCTCTGGAGTCGGGAAGATCTGAGTCCAAATGTGGGCCTGCTGCTCAGTGTGGGCAACTCGGGGCAACGTCCCTGCTGTGAGTGACACCCTCCTGCCTCGTGGGAATAATCACCCCAAGCGGGGTCTCATTTGGGGGCCCACAGCCTGCTCCAGGGGTCCCCGCTAGGACCTGGGCATGCTCAGCAGGGGCACAGCGGGGCTCTGGCCACTTCTCCCGGGAGAGAGGGCTGCAATTTGGGAGTTGAGTAGATGCTCCTGGCCGACTTCACATCGCTGCATGGGTTATCGGGTGCCTGCTGTGTGCCGGGCACTGTGTTGGCCTTGGGAGAAACCAGGCAGCAGGACCAGCGGCTCCCGGCTTAGGGACAAGGGATGGACAGGGGCTTAGGGTGACAGGCTGCCGGGCGGGACCGTGCTGGGCCAGGTGGGCTGCACAGGTGAGATTCCATCCCGTGGAGGCCAACAGCTGGGGGCAGATACTGAGGAAGGCCACACTGCCAGCATGGGTCCAGCCTGTCCTCTCTGCCCTGGTGGAGGTACCCATCTCGGTGATTCCTGCCACAAACCCAGAGGCTGGGGGGATCCGGCCGCAACCACCCGAGGCCAGTGACCAGGCACAGCCGCCGCCCTCCTCCGCTCCAGAGCCCCCGAGGGAGCAGAGCCTGTCTCTGGGCCTTGGCTGCAGCCCCACACACCTCCCCACCACCCTGGAGCCAGGCCTGGCCCTGCTGAGCTGCAGAGTGGCCTGTGCCTCTCATGTCACCCACCCTGGCAGGCACAGAGTCCCCGTGAGGCCTGGACCCAAGGCGCACAGGCTGATAGCCCTGAGCTGGCCTCGGTGCCCCCCCAGGTGCGGCTCCTGGACGGAGTTCAGCCCCCTCATGCCAGCGCCTGGTGGTCTGGTGTCCAAGCAAGACCCAGGGCCAGAAGGAGCCCCATTTCAAATTGGCACCAATTTCCTGAAAGTTTCTTGGGGAGCTCTGGGCAAAGCCATAGGTCCGGTGCGATAAAAGCAGACACCACACTTACAGCAGATGACAGCTTCTCTCCTGAGCCGGCCAGGGAGGCCCAAGGCCTGGGTCCCCTCCTGCCCTCTCTGTCCCTGCAGACGGGCTCAGCCGCCATGTGGCCACACAGCAGACCCTCTGCCAAACGAGCAACTTTGTAGCTGGCACCTAAAAATACAACTTATGTTTTTTCTTTAAATAGAAAGGAACTTCAGCTGTTCCCCCCAGGCCTCAGGCTCCTGGTCCCCCAGTGGGCGTCCTGGGGCCTCACCCAGACTCAGTGGCCTCACTCGGACTTGGGAGCTGGAGCAGTGTCGGGGGGACAAGGTTGGGTTCTGCTGCTCCTGAGAGGCCTATGAAGGGGGCAGGCTCTGGGCTGCCTGCCATGTGACCCACACAGTATTCCAAGCCCCATGTAACCAGAGAGGGGGCGTCTCTCAAAGCCTAGGGTCTCCATGCACAAACTAATCTGAGCCAAGGGGGTGGAGGATCAGGCAACCAGTAAGACCGGAAGCAGGGGCCGGGCATGCTGGTGCACGGCTGTAATCCTACTACCCGGGAGGGTGAGGCAGGAGGATCACCATGAGTTCAAGGCCAACCAGAACTACATAGCAAGACCCTGTCTCAAAAAAATATAAATAAATAAATAGAATCAGAGTGCTACAAGAAAGACCCAGCAGTCTCCCATCTTACTCCTTCCATGCCCAATCACTATACCCAGGAATTACTTCAATTCTTTTTAGCTGTCCTGTTAGTTACTGCCATGTTTCTCAGTAGCCTATTTATATTTATTCACAATGTTTTCATTTTTGACACTATCTAAATGCTCCAAATCTAAGTGGATACATAGAAAAATGGTCAAAGATCCTGACTTTGGCCAGGAATGATGGCACAGGCCTGTAATCCCAGCACTTGGGAGGCTGAGGCAGGAGGATTGCCCAGAGTTCAAGCCCAGCTGAGGCTACATAGTGAGACTCTGTCTCAACAAAAAGGTCGGCTTGAGTCCATATTCAGGTAAATAAATGAAAGTTTGATTAGGAAGAAGATGGTACATAGTTTCAAAGTGCCTACTCAGAAAGTACTAATTCATTACACGGGGAAGGCGAGTAACTTTGTCCTAGAAAAGCCAGCAGGTGTCACCTTGTAATCCCTCACTAGTAGTGGGACAAATTGAGACCATGCGCCCCCTAGTGGGTTCCCCTAGTGGGAACCCAGCATCAGCTCTGATTTTCTGTCGGAGACAAACCAGGCCCTGAATAGGACACCAAACCAGGCTGAGCGCATCCGCAGAGGGAGTGGCAGAGAGCAAAGGTCTACTCCTGGGGGCCTCAGCACCCCGATCCTCTGCACTGTGCCGAGCATGGGTTCAGGTCCTTTGGAATCCCAAGCCTCAGTGTCTGCAGGAAGGTGAGAGGGGAGCCAGGGTCACCTCGGGCTCCCCCTGTGGAA